TTAAAAATAATCAATGTTTAATGTACAAGTATAAAAATGCACAAAGTGAAAAATTGTTGCCTCGTTTTCTGCTGATTATCTCATCAATTAATTGACAAAACATTTCATGTATACCAGAGGAATCTTTTTTTAGTTGTGCAGATATATAAACTGTACAAAGTCGTAGTGCTTTCCTTTTCCAAGCCACATCATGCATTAGTGCACATAAACATGTAGCTTTTTTTTTTATTATTGCATTTCTTTGGCTTGTCATTCTAGTTCATTCAACAATTGCTTAATGTTCACATCAAAGCCACACCGATGAGCTTCAGAGCCTATCCTTGTAACAGCAGGAGATGCTGGCTTATTAAAAAATAATATAACCTGTTTTATGAGGCAGAAAATGTCTGGAGAAACATCTGTGAAACAAGTTGCATATTAAATATGTAAGAGCTACATTCAAAATTCCTTTTTGCAAAGGACATCAGAGCTATAAACAGAATCCAGAGTGCTGGCCCCCCAAGCTCAATCAAGTCCCGGCCATTCCCAACAGTCAAAGCAGAGTGATCTTGCACTGTATGGCTTTCTCTTGCTACTTCCTCATCTCTGTAGGGATTAAAGCAGTCAAAATGTTCATATCACTGCCAGAAATTAGTCACTCAGGATTGTCTCTGATTGTTTTAGGAAATCAAGGAGAAAAAAAAAACAAACAAAAAAACACAAAGCATTAAAGATATTTTGTACTCTACTTTTCCTGAAAGCATTTGCACAGGCTAAAGAGTTCATTAATGCTGTTTTTGTTCTGAAGTGGGGGCCTCCGGAGACACCCAGACTCCCCAGGCTAGAGAAATGAAGGAAGGATAGGGGTATGCTGCAGTACAGCAGGAAACGGAGTACAATGCTAGTAGACAGATTAAAGAAGCTGGATTTCAAAGGCTTCTAATAACCTTTTAATGTAATGTGGCTTTATCCTTGAGAATTACATTGAACTGATATTTTCCATTTATCTTCACACAGCTGCTTTTGCTACTTAACTGGACTGTGAAATCTGTATTTGTGCTATAATTAGTATAATTATTTGCACAGTGGATCTGTAGAGGACTTATTCTGTGGCAATTTGACAAGACCTAATATCCATCAGGTAATAGTTCACTTCCACTGTAATGGCATTTTGCATAGCCACATGGTAAAAAAATTTACATTTCTGCAACAAGGAATAGTCACTGGCGACCACATTTGATATAATATCATGATGCTTTGAGCCCACTTCTGTGTTTTTGATGACATCAGTCTCTGAGGGAGGGCATTGGCTCAGTTTACACAGAAATCATTCAAACATGATCTGCACAAACGGGGCCGACGCCTGCAGTGGTTTCTCAAAGGGACAACATTTAGCAAAACGTACACCGCACAGATGTAGACATCAAATGCTCCCTGTTGAGTACAATCACACACACAAATAAAAATGTAATCAAGCAAATTGTGTGACAATGGCAATTTCTATGTATCCAATTTAACTTCAAATAGGATATAAAAGTGGCCCTCATGTCAATATTTATCTTGTTGCTCTCGGCGGCAGAAGCCCACAACTGAATCATACACGGGGAAGCTACAAGTGCATGTGTTACACATTATTTAACTATGCATGGTAGCCTAAGAGAAAAACAGGCACTTGAACTGGTACTGTATTCCCTACTTTCTCCAAAAACAGGAAATGATGAAGATGCCATCAGCTGCAATGACCAATGCAGCAAGCAGAGAGACACCCAGGAGCCACTTAAAGCACATTCTGCTTTTACAGCTTAACACCTCATTTCATACTGCAAACTTAACACCTGTGTGGGTGGAAACTTGTTTTAATTCACCTTTAGTATACTGTAAACTTAAATTATTTTTGTGCTAAAATGCTCAGTAAATTTCTATGAACAGTTAATCCATGACTGTATGACGGCACAGCAATCAGCACAGCGCAATAAACGGTAAAATCAGTCTGAAAGCTCTTCTGCTGTAATGTATACAGAAGTATTTATAAAAGCTCTCTTCCTCTCATTCCTTTCCTATTTTTGATGGCACACATTTCCTATATGAATGCACAAACTGTTTATTCTTATTCATTTTTAATGCTCTACTTTTTATTATTATTCACATTGTTACTTTCTCTTCCTGCTTCCTCAAAACACATTAAGAGCCTCTGTACCAGAATCAGATTCCTGCATAAACAAATACTTGGCAATTAAAGAAGATTCTGATGTATATACTCTATATGGATGTGTATTCACTGAGAGCTTAAACTCCAGAGATCAACTGGAATGTGTGAGCCTGTGGCTTTTAAGTGTGGACCTGTTGGTTTTAAGCATTATCATTATCTCTGGCCTTTGGTCTGCTGCATCAGAATGTCTACTGCCTTTGAGCCTTGAATGATGCATCTCACTGACAGCTGGCGAGATGAAAGGCTCCATTTTGAAATGGTTAGTGCTGGTATGCTCGACAGTCTGCCCTATATTCCTCCTCCTGTTAGCAACACTTAGCTAGACACATGAAAACCCCACTGCCATCTAGAGCCTGTTATCACACAAAAAGGCTGCTCTCTGACCATGGCACATTTCTGAGCATGTTACTGTCCATCATATTGTGTACAATTTACTTTGATGCTCATGGGGACTTGAAGTAAACAGGGACAAAATGCTAGGGATGGGCATTTAAAGCCAAAATGCTATTCGATATTCGCTGTGAAACTATTCGATAATTATTTGGAGACATAATTATAGCACTTTACTTCTAGCGTTGTCGTGTGTGCATGCTTCACATTTGAGTCTGTATAAAGATCTAACGGTCAAATGTACTATATGGGGTTTTGGCAAGGTCAGTATTTAAACGGCTGGCTCATACAGTGAGGAGAGGAGTGATGACTTTTCATCCTATGTATATTTTTTCCACTGTTCAAACATGGCATTAAGCAGATCATATTTCTACGGTATGTTCAGCCTAAACCGAGCATTAACAGTCTCTCCAGGACCATGTACTGAGAATATACCAGTCATAATAGTGATGGATAGAGCTACTTACTAAAAGGTACAGATGCATTTAATGGGCAGTCGAACATTTTAATGGTTATAGAAGCAACCCGGTGCCCTTCTCTAAGTGTTCACAACACCTCACTGAGCTATTAAATGCAACTAGAATGGAATTATAAAGGGAAGAACAAGGTCTGAAGAAAATTAGCACTCTAAATCCTCACCACGAAGAGCATCAATGGACAAACAGTGAAATGGTACAATTGTCTGCGTATCCTCCTGTGAATAATCTTCATCTGAACTAAATATTCTGTCAATGTAGATGTATTTCATTATTCCTAAACAAAGACACTCCAGGAGGGCCAAAGTTGACATATGGAGTATTAGGCTTCCGCCCACCTACATAATTCATTGAAGAGTTTCAGACAATTCTTCTACTTTATAAGAGCTAAAGGCAGAGAACTTGTGTGGTAGGTTGAAAACATCTAAGATAGACAAATCATTAATTAGAGACATTAATCATCATAAAACAGTTTTAACTACTAACTTGATCTATATTCATTGTAAACTCCGAGTAAATTGGTGATTTACATGAAGTAAACACACAGTAACTTGAATCATTTCCATCTCTTACTATCCAACAACTGTCCAGACAAAAATCAGACCTGGTCGGATGTAAGATAATACGCATACCTTCCGGCGGTGCATAAATGTTGTTGCTAACTTAATCAACCCAGGAAATCTTTCCGCATTTACAAGTACTGCATCTATACTCAGAGCAAGGTGGTGTCATTTATACAGTTAATCACTTTTGTGTTGATTCTGTTGGAGGCGCGTAATGTGTAGCAGCTGCTACAGCGGTGCTCTCAGCTGTCTGACACTGCATTAACAGAGCCTGAGGTAGCGGCTAAACCGGGACAACCCCCCCTCCGCAGAAACTCATGCTGCAGTGTTCAACAACACAACTGCAACTATTTCTTTCCTAGACGGCAAGGTGTTTCATTTTATAGTTGGTGCAGCCTGTACTGGGGCGCTTAGCAAACACGTTACCATCTCATTAAACAGCAAGAGGCACCATCTAGTAGTGCATCCGGGTTGCTACAGTAAAACTACAGTTAACCCCACATGTCCTCCTGTTTCTGCACTGTCAGGTAATTTTAATCAATTAAATTATTAAGGGCAATTAACCAGACATGATAGTCTAAACAAAATAAATCAAACAACAGAACAACTCTATTAGACAAAATGCTATAACTATTAGTACATGTTCATTTTATGACAGCAAATACATAAATAAGGAAATGTATAACAATGTGTAATGCATTTCACTTTGATCTAATCTTATTTAAGCATTTTAAATCCACACACACACACACACACACACCCCTCAGGCTAGATGCATAAACAATGCATACACTGTTTCCCACAAATAAACTTATTCTCATAAAAACAATTAGAAGTGAGAAAATGCACACTTCACACCATGCACACATATGGTCATACGATAAAAAGTACAAATGAGGTGAGGAACAGCCTATAGGAATACAACATTGTTCATCAAGGTTACTGACTAAACACATGGACATTTTGTAGTCTCTACAGAGATGTGCAAAATGCCTGTCGGTTGCGTCTCTACTGGTAGATGACAGTAGGAAGAGCAGGATGGGGAATGACATGCAACAAAGCAGAGGTGGAAAGGATCTACAGTAGTTATTTGTGGCTAGCTACCCTGCACAACCCACCAGATAAGCCACATAATAGCTCATTTTAACTAGCATTAACATCCTATTTTGTACATGTCCCATTGTAGAAGGCATAACTGGTGAATTCAGTTTACAAACAGTCCTGAAGTGTGCTTTGGTGACTTCTCTACACAGCTAGAACATTTGTAATTTATTTTCATGCTGTGTTACAAGGCTTTGGGAGATAATGCAGGCCATACAGCAGCTACAGACAGTGCTGCAGTGTTTGGAGACCAGAGACCTTCCAGGGCTCCAGACTAACATTTCATACTGATGGCAGTGGTGCCACCAAGTCTCTCAGATGGTAGGTGGCACTGGTGCCAGATTTGGTGGCACCACCTCTGTTTTACAACATAATGCAAAATAATCAGTATTTTTCATGAATAGTTTTAGATAACCTTACCATCCAAAGTGCATAGCCTACATTTAAAATAGCATGGGCTTCCTAGATAACTGGAAAACATTTTGGGGAAAACCTGGTCTGATTAGCAGAGACGGCATCCATCCCACTTTGGGTGGTGCGGCTCTCTTATCTAGAAATCTGGACGAGTTTGTTTTACAACCTAAATTATGACAACCCAGAGTTGAGTCCAGGATGCAGGGTCACAGTCTTACACGCCTCTCTGCTGTCTCCTTGCAGCTGCTACCCACCCAACGCTCCCAGTACCCCATAGAGACTGTGTCTGCCCCCCGCCCACGGTAAAGCAGATGTACACGGGCCCTGTGCTCTCTGACAGTAAGAACAGTGATTTTTTTTTTTTTTTTTTGGCTCTCTGACTCTGAAACAATTAGGAACTATTTGGAGTTATGAGGGGTGCCAAGCTAATCTAGACGTACCCAAGATTAAACATTAAATGGCTGGAAACGCAAAATGAACACCCATGGGGACTTTAAGTGAAAGTACCTTGTTACTTTCTACCACTGGCTTCTAGGTGTGCTGCTAAGAGTTGTATTGTTTGAGTTATGGTTGTAATTTTTGATTGTATAATATTCAAATTTCTAAAAAACAAAAAAAGAACATAAGCAATGTTCTTTCCATTTACTTACACTGTCTCCACTCTGCTCAGCCTGATGCTGCTGGTAGACCTCTTCCATCAGAAATTTACGGTTCACAAACTTGGCCTTGGACCACATCCACACCTGGGGAGGCAGTGAAAAAGTCATCAAAAATAAAATTTCAAGAAACCTAAATTGAAGTTTCAATTTAAAAAACATGCATATGCGTCTGAGAGTGACAAAGACAGACAGCCAAACTGACCTGCTTTTTACCCACAGAGGTGACTCTGACCACAGTCTCCTTCTCTAGGTCGTGTCCTTTTGGATCTGACAATGCCAGATTCTTGATCTCCAACTTAAATTCCACCCCCTCCAAATATGACAGACAATAAAAAGCTGGTGTTTTTTCATTTCTTATACATGAACTATAACTGCCTGCAGTAAGAACATATTAACAGAAAGGGACTGTTTCTGTAGGCTTCATAAAAACCAGAGAAGGGACAACGTCAGTGTGAGTGAATCTGAACATCTGCAGCACATCAGCTCCATGTCACCTTGTTAAGCTCCTGGCTCATCTGGTTGGCTTCAGCTACCATGGGCATCAGTTCGATGTAGTCGTAGAAAACAGCCAGCAGACTGGGGTCTGTCTGACTGGACCCAGCGCTGGACTCACCTGAACACAAAACACGTGAATCAGTTTTCTCCAGAAAGTAATCTTCCTTTACGACCAGCTACTGATTTTCCCCACTCACCCAGGTGGATGCCCTCAGCAGCCGCCAGTTCAGACTGGAAGAAGTCATAGTCGTAGCGGCTCCAGTCGTCCACGCCCCTCTCAGAGGGAAAACCAATGAACAGGTAGGTGCAGTTGGAGCCAAGAATGAGGCGGTCCTACAGGGAGATGATGAGAAAACGCTGAGAAAAAAATCATGTGTGTAGTTAACAGCCGCTCACGCAGTCATATCAGGAAGTGTGTGTTTAAGACCAACCAAGTGCTGCAGCTCAGTTGTCTCGGAAACAGTACTGCCATTCACAGTGACCTTTGACCCTGCCAGTGGGGTCAGTGTTACCTGGCGTTGTTCATTCTTAAACACAGCATGACGCTCCTGGATCCTAACAATCACACACATGCAAACACAAATGAGGGCGTATAAACTCAGAGATGCACAAAAAGACAGTTCTAATAAGCAACAGTTGCGTCTGAACATTAAGCCTGAAAAAATATACATATAATTATCTTAACGTGCTTAATCTTTAAAATGGTCGCAGGGCCTGCAGACTATCCCAGCATTCACTGGGTGGAATGAAAGAAAACAGCCAGTATATTATTCATATTACTTGTAGATGTCATGCATAGACATCTTGGTGTCTCTAATCTCACACACGCTGGGTTTGTGCTGTTCTGTCGTTCCCTGATGAAAACTCACCCTAGCCCCTTGACAGAGATGCACCTTGGAGAGGAGTCACACAGGCCGACCTCCCATTCACCTGTAGGACAAAATAGCACTAATGGGTGGTAATCAACATAGTGAATACCTCTCTCTAAAAGGTTAACTGAACTTGAGAGGGAGCTTTTCAGCAAATACAAAGAGACGAATTCAGACAGACAGACCTTCCTGGATGAAAAGCTTGATCACCCCAGACAGCTGAGCATCCTCGTTGATGTTCAGGATGTAGGGATGCATCTGCATCATCCTCCTCTCCTGACAGTGAGGACAGACAGAGATGTCGTGAAGGGAAACAAGAAGAGGCAGTTAAGAGCTGACAAACATCCACGAGTCCATGTGCAAAGATGCATTTATACACTGTGGTGGTTAAAACAAACAAGCTACAGTTAATATGCAATATGTAATAGAATACAGTGAGTGTATAGATTACATGTAGTTACTATATTAAGCATGTCTTAAAGACATAAAGGCCTGGATGACCTGCAACTTCTTACTTCTAAACTCTGACAAAACTGAAGTCATTGTGCTTGGGCCTGGAAACCTTAGAAATCTGCTGTCTAATCATATAGTTACTTTAGATGACATAGCTCTTGCCTCCAGTACTACTGTGAGGAACCTTGGAGTCATCTTTGATCAGAATATGTCCTTTAAATCACACATAAACCAAGTCTCTAGATCTGCCTTCTTTCACCTGCACAATATTGCAAAAATCAGGAGCATCCTGTCTCAAAGTGATGCTGAAAAACTGGTCCATGCATTTGTTAACTCCAGGGTGAAGTACTGCAACTCTTTACTATCAGGATGTCCCAATAATTCCCTAAATAGCCTCCAGTTAATCCAAAATGCTGCAGCCAGAGTACTGACAGGAACTAGCAAGAGAGATCATATCTCTCCCATATTAGCTTCTCTCCACTGGCTCCCTGTAAAATTCAGAATAGAATTTAAAATCCTTCTCCTAACATACAAAGCCCTTAATGACAAGGCTCCATCGTATCTTAAAGACCTCGTAGAGCCTTATCATCCTAACAGAGCACTTCGCTCTCAGAGTGCAGGTTTATTTGTGGTTCCTAGAGTCCACAGAAGCAGAATGGGAGGCAGAGCCTTTAGCTATCAAGCTCCTCTCCTATGGAACCAACTCCCAGTCTCAGTTCGGGAGCCGGGCACACTCTCTACCTTTAAGATTAGACTTAAGACGTTCCTTTTTGATAAAGCTTATACTTAGGGCTGGATCGGGTGACCCTGAGCCTTCCCTTAATTATGCTGCTATAGGCCTAGGCTGCTGGGGGGCCCCATGATGCTCTGAGTTTCTTTATGCTGCTATAGGCCTAGGCTGCTGGGGGGCCCAATGATGCTCTGAGTTTCTCTCCCCTATCCTCTCCTCTCTCTCCCTATGCTTCTATATGCCACCATTACACATTACTAACTTTGTGTCTCCTCTCTCCCGTAGTGTGTCCTCTCTTTCTCCCTGTACCTTTCTACAGGTTGCCCTGGAGCTCTGTGTCCCTGACAAGCAGTCACCAGACACATCGACCTAATCAGTGTTTGATTGTTTGTTTTGTCTTGTTGCTTTTCTTCTTTTATCTCTCTTCTTTTGTCTCTCCTCTATCCACTCACCCCAACCGGTCGAGGCAGAAGGCCGCCCACCAAGAGCCGGGGTCTCTCAGAAGTTGCTTCCGTTAAAGGGAGTTTTTTCCTCCCCACTGTCACCCAGTGCTTGCTCAAGGGGGATTTGTTGGGTTTTCCCTATGTAATAATATTGATAACAGTAAGGTCTAGACCTTACTTTGTAAAGTGTCCTGAGATGACTTTTGTTGTGATTTGGCGCTATACAAATAAAATTTAATTTGATTTGATTTGATTTATAATGAAATTCAGAGATAGAGGGAGACTTGTAAAAGGGAAGTAAAAGGGAAAAGTCACTTCTGGAACAGGTTTCCAGCTCTTTTTACATAGTCATTGTAGTGTTCTATAGCCTGGCAGGCAACATGATGATAATGATGACGATGATTAGGCTATTATATTTTAACTGAAGTATAAACTGATGAAGTGCGCAAATGCTTTGCAGCTTGTGTACGTGATTTACTTGTAGCTTGTTTTCTGCTCTTTGGCGATATCTGTGTTGGACTTCATGCACATTTCAGCTCTCTCAGTCACCTGGCTAGTGCCAACTCATTTCTAAAGTTACTAGTAGCCATCTACTTCAAGAAGGATCGATGGTGGGTTTCGGCCACTACAAGCTTCAAATTGGGACTTGACTAGACGTGAGTGGCACATATGCATGACGTGTCTGACCTGTTCAATTCACACTGACTCCAACCTCCAAGCAACAATAGCAGTATGTTAGCAGGAGGACAGCGAGGTCTTCAGGCTGACAGACATCAGAAATGTACTGGACAAAAATAATTTTCATATAAGCTCAGCAGCAGCATTTATATGTTCTAATTTATTTATTTTATTAATTTCCCATTTGGCACACAGTGACACCAGGAGCCTGTCCAACACATAAAAAGGCCAACAGGTGGTCTACCTGGTTTAACAGGTGATCTACCTGGTTTAAGCAGCTGTCTGCGGCGATTACACTTCAAATGTGACAAAGAAAAAAAAAAACTTGAAGCATAAAAAGGGGCCCTGGGATGACACGCGTGTCTCAGAGGCAGTGTGGATTGACACATTTGATAGACTGGAAGTCTCTGCCTCTTGGGACGGGTGAGTGACAGACCTGCAGATAAACGCTGCAATGACAGCATCACAGAGATTGTTACATCTGTCCGCTATTTTTTACAGTGAGAGGATCGTTTGTGCTTAACCTGTTTATTTTGCAGTCACACCTAGTGCGACCTCTAAGAAGAGTCGGTTGGACCTTAAAATAGATTTGGTCACAAAATGCAGCTCGAGTAGCAACTAGTCTAGAGCCCTACCTTCTCTCCCTTTGCTTCTCTTGCCGTTATTCTTCCTATTTCTTCTGTCTGCTTGTTCCCAGTCTCCTTGACACCTATGGCTCATAATTATTAGGTTGTGGTTTGTTATATGCATATGGCCTATACATTTAGTGTTTTCAGTGTCAAAAACAGCATAGTGATCTAGATTTCCTTTTGTTAAACTGGACCTAATTTAGCCGCTGTCCCCTTTGTGACATTTCAACCAATTTGTATTTTCTGGGGCAGACATACTGTACACCTCTCTTACAAAAACAACTCCAAATGTTGCTCTAGTTTAAATATAGATGCAGTATGTTTGTTTGTTTTTTCAAAAATCTAGTCTCTACATCATTTTCCTACACATTAATTCACCAGAATTGCAAACCTGCAACTTTAAAGTGAACTTTATTGCCTTTGAAATTGAAAGCACAAACCTAGAGTACCAAGGGAACAAAAGCACAGACTAGCGCTGATGCAAACACCACTCAAAAAAAAAACGCCCATGCATCAACTCAGGCGCTGCTTACTGTGATGATAAAATGCCAACCCTGGAGTCACCACAACCCCCTCATAAAATCTGGCTTGTACCAACACTACAGTCAGTGCGTGTGTGTGTGTGTGTGGGCATTCCTGCAGTTAGATTTATTGGATTTGGGGATCACTCCTGCTGTGCGCTCTGTCGTGCGAGTGAGCTTAACTCAGTTTCTCTGTGTGAAGCTGGCAACGCTCTGGACTGACCTTGCAGTGAAGGTGTCATTATGCAGAGTTGCTGTCATTACTCAATTAGACAGAATTAGGCACTGGCTAACGTGACAGTAGCATGCTGTGAAAACTGACTCAGAATTTGATTCTAGGCTGGGTGTATGTAATTAGTCACAACAGGTCTATTTTTATGGGACGATAAAGCCTTAGGATATTTCCAAACCTGCATCTCTCAGTAGCAAAAAATAAATACAATAAAAATCACGTTGCTCAAATAAGCAGTGCAGTTAATGGAGTCCTAGGTGAGGTTACATACTGTTATAACCCTTTTCAGGCCAGTGACACAAATTGAACCTGTGTCAATCCCAGTTGATCAACATGCAACATCTAAGCTGGGCTGAACACAGATTGACACAGGCTGGGTTTAACAAACAGGCATTTCTATTTGGGATGGCTATTTAATTGAATGTTACTGGCATTTAAACAACATTAATCAAAGCACTCAGAAGGTCTATAAGGGGAACAGAGAAAGCACCGTCTGTGACACTATGGGCATTGGCAAAGAAAAACGACTAATACAAACCTGCGATAACTCAGTAACACGGCGGACTGACGCTCCCACCTGACATTTTGAAGTCAACAAAACAACACGGCACTCACGGCAAAGGGGAGAGCAGCTAGTTCTTTGTTTAAATATTTATCTACAGATGTGGCATTTCCACCCACCAGCGTTATGCCATATTCTGTGACCTGCCAGATTCTGTGACACGTAGCAGTGCAATGAGGAGTTCCCTTTCTGGTAACGTTAAGAAGATAAACGCATGCAAAACATCAGCAATAGATTCTATTTAATTTGATAAATGAAAAAGTAGAACATATATTCTTTTCACTGTGCTGTTTTTACTGTAACTTCCACAGCGGCAACACAGCTCCCAGTAAGGAGCAGAAGGAAAATAAATGAGGCATGCGTCCTGCATCATAAATGCATTTACTGTACAAAAAAGGTAGCAGTGTCTGGTTTTCATAAGTGGTTAAGCAGTGGAGTCAGTACTCCTTTTTTGTGTTAAGCCTTCTTTATCTAGGTCAGCATGCTCAAACATTAGAGCAAAAATAAACGCCAAAGTAAAAGCACCCATTATGCAATGAATGATCTACCACATTATATGTAGTGGGGAAAAAACAGAAATAGTGAAATAGAGTACAAGTACCTCAAACCTATAAGCTACTTGAGTAAATGTACATAGTTACTTTAGACAAGTGCTTGGATGTGGAGGTCATCAAACAACTGGCAGTTCAGTTAACACACAGGTTAAGAAGCTGCTGAACAGCAAGTTTTTAAAAACACAACTCTATCCGACCAGGCCAAATATTAGAATGCACAATTCAATCCAGCAGCAAACAACTCAACACAGAATGGAAAAGAGATACTGAGCTGAAACACTGCAATCCACAAGTCAGACCAGGGACAGAAACAGGAGCAGGGCTGGCAAAGCAGGAGTGCAAACTATGGCATATGCTGACGTTAGCTTCTGGACAGCAGTGTCCATAACTGTCCCTCTGGCTTGTCTGGGTTCATGTGGTAGATTTGGCAATTATACTTGTCTTGGCGTCATTACATCAAGTAACTATGGATTTTAAAGAGATCCAAGGTTTTAACAAGCAGCACCCTTTCACAACAAAAGTGGACCACAAACAAAAATAGGAGGCTCACTTCAGCATTGTTTATCACAACAACAACAACAATAGCAATAACAATAACAATAATAATAATAAATCTTTACTCACCATTAAAGTTGTTGTCCATACATTGGTCACTGCTCCAGGGTCTCAGTAGTAACTGGACCCTCTGTGTGTGAAGTCCGTCCAGGTTGGCTTCGTTTTCTTGGTCTTGGACTTTTACCACGTCCTAATGAAAGGTGAGTTCATTGGTGACGTTAACGCCGCGGCTGGAACACTGTGTGTGAGGTCCCAACACTGTTTCAGCTGGTTCTTACACCACAACGCGTCGACCACACAACACCGGACTGACCTTGTATATACGGTACATCTCATTTGGTTTGTCAGCCGCAAACTCTGTGAAACCAGCAGCCGTGGGAGATGGAGGCCGTGGGGGCTGACGGGCCTAATTAGTCCCGGTCTGTCTCTAAAGTTGGCTTTTCCTCACTCCTTCCTTTCCTTCCTTTCCTTCAGGTGTTGCTATATCTGTCGTCCAGGCTGGTGTATACTCAGGGACGGTGTTTGTCGTCTTTACCAAGTTTAGACACTTAGTGCGTATTATCCACTTCCTGTTACGGTTATAATTGATTATCACCTGGGGGAACAAAGTGGCACAATGTGACTTCCGCCCCAACTTCCCGAAGAAACTGGAATTTATTCATTCATGAATTTATAAAGGTTTTCATGCAGATGTGCAGCTCAGAAGTCATTCATGGATTAAAACGATGTAAAATGAGGGGAGAAAAAACCCTCAATAGTAATAAATGATACCAAAGAATTACTTAAAATAGACTATTACTTGTGTAGCAGCTGCTACCCCAAATTAGAAGTAACCATGAGGTTGACATTTTGTGTAACAAACTGTAAAAAGTTTGTTGATCCTTTAATTTTTGATTTATCATCATCATTGGGTCAGATTTTTAATCTATCCATGCTTTGGTTTTGTGCCTAAATGGCTGTGAAACAATATTCCTATCAGCATCAACCTTAGTGGTAACTGGCAAATGTAAAGATCCTAAAACACTAAAGATATTCTACATGGTAACATCAGCATGTTATTGTCATTGTGAACATTTCAGCATTCTGATATTATTTAGTACCTGGAACAAGACACTGCTCACAGAGCTGCTGCTGTGGTGGTAGAATCTTAGTCTTGCCACATGTGCCTATATTATGTACTTGCTTTTCTTTTCTGGGGGCCTTAGGCATTCACTGCCTTCCAGGCCAATGCCTTTCAGTATGTGAATGGTTCTGCCTGATCAGAAAAACTCATTATTTGATGAAACATTAAAACAAGTCGTATTATATTACAGCTTGATTTATATCAGTAGTTTTCTGTTTTATTGTTTTTACAACTTAAAAACCCATAAAAAGCTGCTGACCAAGCAGAGAAATGTTTAAAATTTCATCAGTCAGACACTTCCTATCCACTCTTTAACCTCTGTGAAAGCACGGCCTCCCATATGGACAAATGTAGACTCCAGTAGATGAGCTCTTCATGTGCCCACTGTAGGGACATTAATTGTTGGAAAGTAGGGAAATGACCCTTGCATATAATCTGTGGGAGAAATTATTTTCCTTCTGATTGGCCAAGGCCCAGGCTTAGTAAAGGTCACACTCTCTTTCCTTATTCAATTACAGACAGGCATAAATCATCCCTCTTCTCCAGCCATTTTGGGCAACTGTTGACCACTTTTTATGACCTTGTTCAAATATGCAAAGGGTATTTTACTCTTTGCCACTTGCCCTTGCTCTGTGTACTTTAAACAGTGACAGCTTCAGCTCATTAAGGTACCATCTGGTGTAATCCAAAATAAAAGAAAGCGTTCGATAGTGTGCACGCTGCCAACAGGGCCTAATAATCTTCTCAGTTAGTTGTAACTGAATACTGCATTGTAGAGGTAGCAGTCTTGCTAAAACGTTTTAAAAGTGCATCACATGTGAAATAAAAGATTTAGGAGCCTATGAATGGGTGTTAAATAAAGCTGACATACTGGATTTGGAGCTATGAGGATAATAGTGATGTGTTTACCAGCAGTGCAAAAGATTGGTTTCGAGTTTGACACATTGCAGTTGAATCTGCAAAGCTGGAACTAACAATCTGAAGAGGTGGTGTTAATTAAAAATAATAAGCTGCAGCAGCTGTGCATGTACCAGTCATATGCTGTGAGCTATTATCAACTTTTATCACAGCTTAACATAACATTATTCCATATTCACGTTTCAGCCTTGTTGAGACGCAAAAGCCTTCAAACAAAATGGTTTGCATGTAACTAAGCACACAGCTCTTATAGCCGAAGAAAACAATATCATCTTCAAATTCAAAGTATCACCTACTATGCAGCAATGCACATGGTATTGATCCTCTCAGCAACAAAGCAAATAAGAGTATTTTCCAAAATGTCAAACTCTTCTTTAATTGGGATATTTTGTTAGGGTCTGTTGGCCAGTGAGGGTCGTACAGTTTACAGACCAAAGAACATGTGGAACAACTCTGTTTTTTTTTTTTGCTCCATCTGCAAGTGATATGATTGAAAGTGGCACAAACGCTATTAAATGAATTTAAATGGAGTTTATTTTGAATGTGTGGCAAGAGTTCTCCAAAGTTTGTTCATTTACAAAAAGAATCTGACTAAAACTGGGTAAAGACAACAAGCCCAGACCATTTCCTAGTAAGTAATTGATAGGTGAACCATTGATCTTACTGTATGTTTATGTTTGGCTTACTGTTGCTGGCTGACCACAAACAACAATAATAACAATTAGACTATACTGTGTTTACTGCTAAAACTGTGAGTCATCAATTAAAAACTGCCTAAATGTTCTAACTGAAGAGTATAATTAAGAGTCAGTATTAAATTGATACTGAACAAACAGCAAACAGTGAAGTTAGTTTTCCCGTCTCTGACAGCATCAGACCAACACAGCACACATGCACACCTGTGCTGCAACAACCTTCTTTAAACCTGTTTTCCAAAAAGTGTGACAAGAAGGGCCCGGGCTAGGTATCACACACACACACACACACACACACACACACTGCCCATCTCTCACTCTCCTCCACTGACACCACTGAAACTGACAAAGTAACAGACCCCCCCAGATCCCTGAACTGTCCATCACTCTAAAGGTCAGCACAACACTATGACCCTGGTCCCCTTCCAAACTCATGCCCCCTGCAGTCCACTGTCCTTTACACCTGGAGACAGCACCATGGCCCCTGACCTCACTACCTGTCCATCACTGCCACCCAGGTGAGAAGATAATTGGTGAGGCTCTGCCCAAGCAAAGCAGCTACCACTGATAACACAGAACATGTACTAACCAGCCAGTAGTGCTTTTACAGCGCCCGTTCCACAGAAATATATGAGAACATTATGAAGGCTTTTCTGGAGGATGGTGCTGCAGGACCTCAGCCCTTATGGACTCCGGGGATTTGCTTTAGTTTGCATGACACACACAAGTACATACTGTAGGGCTTTATTTAAACATGGCTGAACTGCTGTGTGTGAATTTGGACCTCAGATATAATATCCAATACATTTCCTTCATGATCTGTGGAGATATGTAGGATGACTATGGATGCTACATCGTGTGGGCCACAAAGAAACATTTGCACAATAATTGCATGGTTGCATGGTAGTGCAACAAAGACATTTTGATGCACTACCATGATGCGTATTTGCAGACCAGCTATTGTTGCTTTGTGAGTGTCCCTATGTACATCACCAAGTGTCGAGAGCATGCTATAATGTTTTGTGAAGATGTGAGGATGAATTTTGCTGTGCCACTGTGACCAGGCCAAAAGACCTTTCTCAGCTGTGAATGTCCCAGTTTGTGCTCTTCATATTCTCTAAGAGACTGAGACATTGTGCCCCGGGAATGGCCAGATTATCGCCTGTCTGCCAGGATAACACTTTTGCTTTAATCACTGGCTGTATGGCCAAAACCCATTTACATCCTCCAAGTCTGAATTTTCAGATTGAAAACATAGAACGAGCCAGGCAGTGGAGTCTGAATCTGGGCAGCCACACTGAAATGCCATGCCCACTTAACCTCCTCAGACACTTTCAAGGAGTTGAGTTGGCGCTGAAGGAAGCATGCAAAACAGTTACTGGCACAAGGGTTTAAAAGGAGCATTGAATGTGTGTATATGTATGTGTGTTACCCAGACTTTTGCAGACTATATTCTGGCATTGAGACAGATGTTGATGTAGCAGAAATGACTACACTTTATTAATATTAATTTAATATCTCTTATATTTTAATACCTAATTAGATTAGGGCACCAAGTGCCTTTTATAGTGGCCTACACTCTAATGATTAATTTATTAATACGTTATTAATTCAGTCTTGATTTGAAAGCAAGGAATTGTGCAGTTCATTGACCTAGTTAGTGGAAATAAAAGAGACCAAAGATGACATGGCCAGTTCTAAGCTAAATAAATTTATTTCCAATACGTACAGCAAGGAAAATGATTGAGATGAAAAATGCAATGAAATGGTACATTTGTAACAAAGATGGATCAGACCAGGAATTACTGGTCTACTGTCGGTTGTTTGCGATGGTGGGAGAACGAGTTAAAATGGTCTAAAATTAAGCAAACTTTTAGATCAAAATTCTGGGGCTTGGTCATGAATTTGGAGAGGAGAATCAGTTTCTATAGGTTAGAGACTTTAAGTAATACTATGGTTTTCATGAGACAACAGTTTGCCAGGGTGCACTTAGCTTTTAACAGGGCTCATGTGGCCGGGGAAGGAGAAGCACTGGTTTCTACCCTTTCTCAAGTTCTCAAGTTCCAAGATGGTTCTGAGGTGGGGGCTAAAACATAATCAGAAAAGGAAGGAGTGAGTATTAAGCCGAGTATTATGACTGTCTCTCCTCATTCCAATGTGTCCTGTTGAGATAGGGAGGTTAGATAAGAGTGAGATGGTCCCAGTGTCTGTGTCCCCCTGGAAATGGATCAGATAAAGCTTAAACTTACTGTCTAGGCTCAGATTGTGATGTCCAAGTTAGTTTATTAATGATGAATATTCTGAGTTCCTCATAATAAAACATATCTCCAAAATGTCTGCTTTGAACTTGTAGGAACTACAATAACATCTTTGCACTTGCTGGCTTTGCTTGAGAAAATAAGAATTAGAAACAGGTCTGACCCGTTCCTGGAAAAGATTTCAAAGATGCCAAGAGCATGAAATAAATAAAGCAAAACTCAGGTTTCATTTCCCATCTCTCTAAAACTGTCTACAGTGAATTTGTAGTAAGACCGGGTCCGTGGGTTCAAGTTGAAATTATTCTTCCACAGCGAAATATTTATGTTCATTGTATAACAAATGTTTCTGACAATATACACAGTAAGATAATCCAAATCAAACTTAAAAAAGAGTGCCCCTATTCGTTTGGAGATAAGGACATTTTAACTATCTCCCCAAAACAATGTTTTTGTTTAGCTGATAACCTTTCTGGTCTCTCAAACCTTGGTGAATGGTAAAAAGACACTCAACTGTGGCATCAGGACAAATAAAGAATAAATAATAAAGATTTAACTCCACTTTCTCTGATTTAATTTTCCTGTTGCCTTATAAAACATCTGTGGCCATAAAAGAGAGGCCCCTTTACTGCACTGATGTCCATCTGTGCAGATGGCAGAATCTCCAGCACGCTCAGTGTCAGATGCCTTCTGACACCACAGACCAAAAACCAAAAACCATATTGCAGCAGCTGGTTGTATGCTGTTCATCACTATTCTGCCTCTGGGACTTCTAAGTAATTTCCCTCTCTGTCTAATTTTATAGCTGGTCAGAGGGAGGTTTGTTTAACTAGATTAGAACTTTTAATCCTTTTAATACAGCACATCCCGTGTAGACATGTCTTAAATCAAACTGCAGTGGCATTTCTGCAGCTATCATTGTTTCTTTTTAATTATTTCTTTGTAATTTTCAGGCTGTCAGCCATCGTGTCATATTTTATTTGGATGGTAGACATGGACACACTGGGATTACTCTTGTTAGACAGCACCACAGCAAGGAATTAATCCCTCCATTAACTGGATCGTGTTACATCTTTTCCCTTGTGGCCCTACTTCCTAAACACAAGGCATTTTGGTCATGCACGGATCCCTGATGCATGTTGTGTTTAATGGCCATTAGTAGTACAATGCGGATACACAAAGAGC